ATACACGCGCGCCATCTATCGTAGGATAAATGTACTATGCCAGAAACCTTTGCGGGAGTATATTAAACAACTTTCCAAAGTTTCGCGGCAATCGGATAAACAGTGTGGTAATGCATGAAGGACAGACACACATACATTCATTTTTATATATATAAATAAACAAAAATATAAAAACAGTCTATTGGCATTGCTGGTAAATACATTTAAATAACAAGCACTTTCGACAGTATGTAACAGTCTTCTTTAGGTAATATGACTGATGGAACTTTATAAATCTAGACATAGATTTTCAAATTGCTCTTTGTGCACAAGCATGAAACATAAAAATTTTAAAATACAAAATTATATGCCATTACAAAATAAATGTAATATATGATGGCAATGGTTAACAAAAATAACAAATTAATATACACAGAAATAATTGATAAGAATATAAAGAAAATGTAAACAAAACATAAACACTGGAGCCTCCTCAGTATGTTCTTATCACATAACTGCATGGAATATCAATTGTGGGAAATTTACAAATTAACAAATTAGAAAAGGAAGATAACTTCATTACAATAAAAATCCTTTAATCTTTATAAAACCTTTTTTACAAAAGAAATGATATTAATTTCATTCAACTAAAAGTGAAAGACATGCTAAATGAAATAGAAAGCAATGGTTATAAATTTGACAGTTTCACTGCAATAAAATCTGGTACTATTCAAAAATGGATCAATCTAAGAAATAAGATCTCCTTAAACTTTGAAACTACCAGTCAGATGCATGTAAATTAAACTGATTATTTTAAACTTTAAAATATTTTATGTATAATAATAATGTACAGTACGGTACATTTTATATAATCATATTTATTTAATTTACAGCTTACTTCTCTGAAGATACAAAAAATAATAAATTGATAGACTTTTCAAGAGATCCAGTTTTGGGTTCAACTAGCAGTAAGTAAAATATTTATATAACAATATTTTTTAATATCAAGATTATTTATTTGATATTTACTTGATTATTTTTTATGATGTTTTATAAATTCTGTTGGCTGTAATTACCTTTAATACTTTCTCATTACTATTCTAGAGAGTTTTTATAAAATTTATCTTGGAATATATTTAATTTTTTAGGATTCATTTATGTAATTATTTCAAAATCTATAGCTGTTAATTATTTGAGTTTACTATATTTTATTTATTTTAATACTGTATACCATCCAAATAATGGACACCATTAGGACAGAAAAGTTTGTCCTCTATTAGGAGGTACAGTACATGCTGGCAGCTAAACTGTATTTTTAGCAGCATGAAAAACATTACAATTTACTCTCTGGTGGTGGCACAAACACACACAAAAATTATACATTTAATAAAAATTTAATAATAAATTTTATATTTGATGTCATTTTTTTAAAATAAATACTTTCCTACTGGAACTACAATAAGTAAAAAACAAAACCTTTAAACAATCCAGCAAATTGTTTTTAATATCTTAAAAATGCTTTCGAACGCTTTAAGCGATCATCCTCACTTATTATCATTTTGAATCGAACGAAGAATTCGAAATTACGTAAAACAAAAATTCAAAAAACGGTTATACAAATTTACGTTAAGATTTAACAAGGTTAAATATTCGCAAAGATTATATAAGTTAATTAAAACGAAATAAAGAACTAAAATAAAATATATACATCCAATAAAAATTATCTTAATTAACTTCCCGCTTATATAAACTACGTCAACTTATCATAGAAGGATTTCCACGCCGATGACAATCCATTGGCATCCCTATGATTAATACAGTTTGTGTGCAACTGCACCTTGTGAATTTCTAGTTTTTCCAGATGTTTCATGGCCTGCCTGGATCTTGTAGCCTTGATGATCGACGCCTGATCCCAGAAGACCTCGATATTCTGCTCTTTGGCAAGATCCAGACGGGTCGTGAAACATCTGGAAAAACTAGAAATTCACAAGGTGCAGTTGCACACAAACTGTATTAATCATAGAGATGCCAATGGATTGTCTTTGGCATGAAAATCCTTCTATGATGAGTAGACGTAGTTCATATAAGAGGGAAAGTTAATTAAGATAATTTTTACTGTATGTATATACAGTAGAGCGTCGTTTATCCGAATCAATTGGGGACTGGGATGGTTCGGATAACGAATCATGTACGAAAAAATATATTAATTTATCCCATGTTGAAATTTCTCTCCGTTGCGTGTCGCTTCGCGTTGAATTTTCGTCGATGTTAAGCCTAACGAAGACTATTGTATCGTTAAAAATTATTTTTTTATTTTGTACAAAC